GCAAAGTTTAAAGTTTGTTTGAAATTTGAATGTGGAACTGTTGAACTTGAACTGTCCTTATCTTCCGCCATTGCAGTTTTGTTCGCTGCATAGTCAGGGTTCATGCGACTGTACGACCTTACAGAGCCCCAAGTTCAATCCAAGGTTCCAAAGCATCTAGTGCAATTTCAATTACACTTGAGTGAAATGACTTGAATGTGTTGATTGAAGAAGAACGGCCATGCAATGAATGCAGTGTTACAGCCTACAGGCTTACAGCTAGGACAACACGCTGCCAAGTTCGGCGAATCAAGTTCAAAACCCCCCACCTCAACTCAGTAATAAACGCCACCGAGCTGCTTACAGCTGAAACCTGCGCCCAGCAGTGCAAGCTCAGTATCGTCCCATTGTCCATCTGGTAAGGCCTCCATGTGAAAATGTTAACTCATGACTCATGACTCATAACTCATAACTCGTCAAAAACTCAAACTTGAAATACTGCAACTTGCAGTCATTTGCAGCAATTCAAAAGTGTCACGTAAGCTAGGCCTCAAGATATTCTCTGGGACCCCGGCGCAAGCAGCCCGATGCACAATACACAGCCGTTGCGAACTATCATCCAGCTTGGTGATATCATTGTAGATGCAAGGGGGAAACGGCTCCTGCAAAGCAAAGGGTTTGCAAAGTCAGAGCACAACATCTTTCAGCACAATGGGCGATCGATGATGGCAAACAAAATCCTCGAGAGTCTCCGTGATGACGTGCTCTTGGAGGAACTTCTGCTTAAAGGGTGTTATCTCGCAGAGAAAAGACGGCACTGCCTAAGCAGCCGTCCGCATGTTAAACACATAGATCACAGAACCAGCAAGAGCCAAACAATCTAGCTGAAAAACATGTATCTCTGCTGTCTCTGCTGCAAACCTAGCTACCTCCATCTTCAAAGAATCTTTTTCCAGGACCATGTTGTTGATAGCATCAACAAGGGCAGCCGAAACAAGTTCCAGCATTCCCGACCCGGAACAACCCGACATGAGAATCAACTTCTTCGGAAGTGTTTTGAGGACCAACAGCAACTTTCCTGGGACAAGCTTGGCGGAAAGTCGCTGCAGCTGCTCCTAGCATGCATATATGGATTCACTCAATGCCGTCAAATCGACATCGCAAAAGATCGGCAAAGCATTAGAGCAACACAACACAAGACAATTCGAGGAGTTAGATGCATCATTGGCAGCAAATTCACCAAATTCGACCAACCTACATACTGAACTTATGGCCAAAATTGCTTTCTGTCCTTTGCCATCATCTTCAAAGGGTACAAGGGAGCCTCTGGATCTGGATCGTACTCCTCCACAGAATGACAATCCTGATCATCATCAGATCCAGCTTCAAAGAGTTCTTCACCTCAGATCGATGTGGGCAGACCTCTGTCCGAAACCCAACCAAAAAAGCCACTAATTGTGACAGGCATATCGGCATATGATACATTGTATGAATGAATATATTGTCATGATGTCATGTCATATCATTATCATTGTCATATAATTATATTATATTATATTGTTGTATACGGTACAGCCCAATCTGCTAATCCCCCCCCACACCCACCCCTTGTTCCCCAACACAAGGAAGGGGAACCACCTCAGCCTGTATAGCCCTCAAAAGCGAAGACGTCCGAGTTGCGTGTGGCTGCCATGGGCAGCGTGGCTAGCCACGCTGCCCATGGCTGCCACCGCTTCGAAGGAAGGTGAGGTGCCAAAAAAAAAAACTCAGTCCTGCCTGTAGCCTTGAAACACGAAGGCCTCCGAGCAGCCCGTGGCTGCCATGGGCAGCGTGGCTAGCCACGCTGCCCATGGCAGCCACTGCTTGGAAGGAAGCGACCACATCCCCCACCCCCCGGGGGGGCATGCGTGGTGGTGAGACACGGAAAAAATGAGGCACTCGCACTTGCCTCTGCACTCTCCGTAGCACCACGTGCCATCCCCCCCGGGGGGGGGGCATGCATGGTGAGACACGGAAAAAAATGAGGCACTCGCATTTGCCTCTGCAATGTCCGTAGCACCAAATGCCATCCCCCCCCCGCGGGGGGGGGGGCATGCGTGGTGGTGAGACACGGCAAAAAAATGAGGCATCCCCCCCCCCCACCCCACCTCAACCCACGACTTACACGCAATTTACACGACCCGTGCACCCACCCTTTGCAGGAACCGTACCATATACCATATTTATCAAACTACAGACTATGACCTATGCGATATGATATGATATGATTCGATATGATATGATATGTGTGTAGTATGTGAGGTACGGTATATCGATATATATATATATATATTATATATTATATAATTATATAAATTATATATATATATAATTTAATTTTATAATATATTTACATATATATATTATAAATTATATATATGCATTGCCGCATTGCACTTCTCTGCAGGCTACCTACTGATGTGCCTTCCCATCTTTCCAAAGACTAAAGCATTTACTTTCAATACATATCATGAAATAAATTATATGTCACATAGTATAGTCTTAGTTAACAGTATAGTCAGTCTAGTCGTATGACTTACGTAACAACTTGTGCCCTTGTTACCCGCAGCAGCATCAGCATTCGGGGCAGCCGCGATGTTCAGATTGGCACCACCTAGCAGTACAGAAAAAACTCCTGGATTCCAGATCCTATTGCAGCTATGAGCGATTCACAAACGTTGAAAAGCTGCCAAGACAAAATGAAGATCTAAATCAAATCTGATTTGACAGAAAGCTGGGAGTGATTGAGGGGCGTTCAAAGTTCAAAGTGCAAAGTAAGTTCAGACTCAGACGATCTGAATCTGTCACTGAAAAACTACTGCCGGTTACATAGAAATTAGAAACATCACACGTCATACAACCTCCCCTTAGCTGCCTGATGTCTTCTCTTCCCCCTTGCTCTGCAACTCTTCTTCCAAACCTGCAATCCACATCTCCTCCTCTTTCTCATCAAGCCCTGTCGCAAGCGCTGAGGAAGCAGCTGTGGCTGTAGCATCATTCTTGGCCAGCCATGCGAAAAAGTATTCCAAGTCCGCCACTTGATCTCCGGACGCATCTCCGAATTCAAAGTCTTCCCCTGCATCCTCCACCAATGTAACCATGTGCTTGTCAAACAAAGGGTGTGCTTTCACCCGGGCAATTTCTTCATCAATCTCCAAAACCTCAGGATCATCAAACCACTGGAACAAATTGTCTGGTGGGTTCAAGAAATCAATCTGCTTCTTCTCCGCCTTGTTCTGCGCGTTGTTCGTGCAGGGGGTTTCCTCCTTCTTGGCGATTGTGTCGGCGTCAACACTACCAGTACCGCCAACAGCTGTTGTAGATGCAGCAACACCGTCTTCTGCTGAAGGTCCAAGTTCAGTCTGGGCCTGGGAATCTGGCTCAAGCAATGTGTCTCCAGCGTCCACTGCTTTCTCGGTGGGCTGCTCCGGCTCACAACCCTGTGGAGAAATTGCGCCACCTTCCTTCTTGCCTGGGTCCTGCTCGCCCTCTTTCACTGGCGGGGTTTCAGCTTGCTTGCACAGGGCCTCGCTGTCAACTGACTCCTGTGGAGCATGTTTCTCTGAAAAGGCTGGCACTGCTGGAACACATTTCTGTTTCATTCCGTCTTTCTGCAAAGCTCCATCACTATCATTGGCATCATTGGCATCATTGGAATCATTGGCACCGGCATTGGCACGCTTTGCTATCAAGCGGCTGTCCCAGAAGGCATCGCCAGCTGTAGTATCCTCCTTGGTCTTTTTGGATTTCCTCTTCTTGTCATCCTTTGACTTCTCCCGGTCCTGGTCGGAGTTTGAAACCCGCGTTCTCTTTTGCTTTGGCTCGGCTGACGACTTGGCTTTGGCTTCACCTCTCTTGGGCGGCATGGCTCTCTTCAAGTCGAACTGTTTGAAGTTTGGAATCAACTCGAAATGAGTTTGGTTGAGTCTCAAAGTTGAAATTCTGGAAAAACGAATGACAAGGCCAAGCATTTAAATGCAGCACCGCAGAGCTGCTCAAAAATTCAATGACCCCAAAGCAAATGAATATAATCTGTTGTGCTTGCTCTCATCTCTCATCTCTCCCTGTGCATCCCTGTGCTAAGAGCATCACGCTAGCGAGGGTCACAGTGGCCAATCAGCGCTTGAATCCCTCATGACCTCATGCCTGATACTGATAGTCACTGATAGACTGATAGACGATAGACTGATAGATGTCAGTTAGAGTCAGAGTTACAGTCGATATTAGATTGTGACTCCAGTGACACGGTGACATGTGGATTCTGAGAGAAAAAATGTTCCTGACTGGAAGGAAAAGTGATACGGCGACATGTGATTCGCAAAAAGCAAAATGACGGCAGCGAAAGGCAATAGGCTTTTGGCACCACCACCACTTGGAAGGCAGTGTGCTTGACAAGTTCGGCCGGTAGGCATGTCACTTGCAGCCCACCCGACAAATGGGTCTATTTGACTCAAAGGTGAAAGGTGGGACCAACGCAACAATGCACTGGTGGCCGTGTCTTGTCTGATGGTGTGCCGGCATATGCCCCAAAACGCCCAAACAATAAAATGATGCAGTGTGGCCGTATGGCCGCGTACCCCAAAGTTCCTCAAGAGGCCCAGTGTCACCGAAGAGTGGAACGCAAATCTTCCATTTGATGCATGCGACATCTCATCTGTCACGAATACAGTATTGCAGCCGCAGTAATGCAACAATAGACACCAGTAGACAGTAACAGTAAATGGCAGACTATTGACTATTGACAACTACCAGTATCAGTAACAGCATCAGTATCATTAAATTATAAATTATCGAATCATATCATATCATATCATAGATCATAGTATGATTCGATCATAGATCATAGATCACAGATCCAAACTAAAGATGTGATGTCGCACTACAAATGCATCACAGAATCACGGAAGAAAATGTCTTCAGATGACTACTCGACTCCGTCGACTGTACTGACAAGTTCCTGTACTCCAAGTCGCCCGTTCAAATCATTTCTGAATCAGATGGGTTGCCACAGCCTGCAGCCCTGCCGGGATCTCCAAAGTGTGCTCTGATGCCAAGCTCATAGCCTCCTTCAAAGGGGACAGCACTTTCTCGCCCAACGCCACCTTGGCGTTGGTGGCTCTGGTGACAGCTTTGGAGCAAAGAATGCTGCACAGATTGCCAACTGTCCTGAGCAGCTCTGAATTGCTGGACAAACACCTTTTAGCTCCTCTTATCATTAAAAAGAGTTGAGTTAATTGAGTAGAGTCCAGTACTAAGTACAGTCTAAGTAAGTAACAGTAACTTCAGTTAGTTAGTTGGTCAGTTGGTCCGTTAGTCCGAACAATTTCTTAAACTATGCCAAGGGGCATCCAAAGTAAGCAAGAACGCCACGTAGAGGTTCCTCCTGCCACATCACAAAGCTCGCTAGGGTCGATCTTGAGTTTCTTGGCCCCACTCTTGGCGCGGGCCAACCACTTCTCTAGGGCCACTGCACAGTTAGAGACTTGGGTGGATTTGTCCAGACTGAAGACCTGCTGGATCAGTTCGGATTGCTTGGTAACATCCTCAAGGGTGCTAACATTGGCAAGCTCCCGGGGCAAAGTAACATCACCACACTGTGAGCATGCCGAGTCAAGCTCTTCCGCGAAAGTGTCTTTGATGTCGCTCAGCACTGCTCTCACCTCCTTCAGCGTGTCCAGGTAAATCAGCTCTGTGTCATTGTGGAAGGCCTCCATGTTGTTCAGCTTGTTTTGGCCAACGTAGGAAACCTTCTCCATCATCTGCGTGACCTTCCTGACCTGAACCAAATGGTCTTCAGCCTCTGCCATGAAGCCAGTGAACAGACTGAGCACATGGTAATCCTGCTTGCGAAGCTTCTCTGGGTTGGCTGGACCTGCAGTTCTCTTGTTTGGCTCTGGACACCATGCAATGTAGAAACTCACAAGTGCCTCAATGACCAGCAATCCATCCCGCATGCCTGCTCCATCGGGAATGACACTTGTCAAAACCCTTGCCTTCTGCAAGTCTTCGTCAAACTCGGCAATCCGTTCTTTGGACAGTGGCACTGGGGTGGTGTCGTCTGGCAGCACTTCTCCAACGACAGTCTGCAAGCAGTCGATACATGTGCTGATCCGAATGTCCAGCTCTTTGTGAACTTGACCTTGTAACACGGTGCGCACTTTCTCAGAGATCTGAGTTGATGCACCTGCAAGTTCGCTAACAGGGCCGTCAGTTTCCTTGCGAGCGTCTTTCAAGGCAGTGATCAAGCATCTGAAACCTTTTGCCACTGAGTCAAGGCCTGTTGAGCTTCTGATGCTGAGAGACCCTCGGCTGTCCGAGCTTCTACCAACTTTCCAGCGAAGTCAGGCATGAAATTGCAAAAGTCCATAATGGCTGTCATGACTTTCTGCTGCACAGCTGCCTGCATGTAGAGAATGCATGCTTCTGGCCTCAAAGGCTCGCAAGGGACACTAATATCATCTGGCTCCTTGCCATCCTGGAGGCTTTTCAAAAGCAAGGCATGGAAAGGAAGAAGATCAAACCGGATGCAAGCCTGCACTGCCACAGCAGCTGCGGAAGTGATACGTGTAGAAAGATCATTGACGCACTCCCGGTCTTGGCCCTTCAGAGCTTTTGTACCTGTGGCAAAGTGACATGCCAAAAATGAAAACGTAACGAAACAAACAAGAAGACTGTGACAAAACATGAACCTTGAATGAGTTCATTCACGATTCAAGTCAATCAATCCATCCCATCTCATCAGTCTCTTTTTGACTACACTGCAGGACCGTACATGAAACATGACGACGACGACATCAAAAGTTAACAGTTAACACTGCAACTGCAACACTGCATGTCCACTATCCACAGTGCCACACCGTAACAAAGTCTACAGAGCACCTGGCTCGTGCAAAACCTTCTCAACACTGGCAACCATCTTCCCGTACTCTGCAGTGAAAAGCGATCTGGCCACATCGCCCTTTTCGAAAACATCCTCAGAAAGCAAGTCTGCGCTTTCCAACTTCTCAATTCCCTCAGCGATGATCTCGAGTACTCCAGCTTGCATTTCTCTGCTCTTGGCATTGGCCACAGCCACATCGATGACTTTCCTGCCCCTATCCAGGATCATGGCATTGACTAGCCAGTGGTCCGCATGTGGGGAAGTCTTTGCGTCAAACATGTCCTTTGCATCCATGACGGAAGAAGGAGGCGACTTCAAGTCCAGAATGGTCATTGCTGCACGAACTACTCGGTAGTCTGCACTATCAGTATTTTCAGCGCCAGACCCATCAGCAGTGATGGTCTGAAGACATCACCGTGACAAACTTGGCAAGGACCTTTGTATGCTCTGCCCCTGGCTTCGCACCTCCTCCAATGCCTTTCACCAGCCTTTGAGAAAGCTGAGATGCCAGGAGGGCAAAGTAGCTGTGGCCAGCAGATCCAAGGTGTGCTTGGCATTTCTTGTAGGTGTCGTCAAAGAACACCTCCCACTGAGCAAGGCGAAGGTCCTGCTCTCAAAGGGGATCGCATGCAGAACCCCAGGCACACGACATGTGAGACAGCAAACTAGACAGCTTGTTAGTCACCCGAAAACTGATGATTCTGTTGTGGTCACTGCGACAGTCTGTGAGAATCGCAATAGGCTATAGGGTTACTGCTAGTTACTACTATGGTTTCAGTGGTGATAAGCCAGGTTCCAATGTTTCAAGCTGCAAGTCAGCGTGAATGTCCTCAAAGGCAACTGCTTTGAGAGCACGCTGCCAAATGGCATCCGAAACGTGAATTTTGGCCCCCTCTCGATCAGCGCCCACCATCTCAATCAACATGTCGTACACCTGGCGTCCTTCGGAAACACCAGTGCTCATCTTCTTCAGGAAATCAGACATGATGCCAACTTGGGCCACCAAATGGTCAAGGGATGAGACCAAGTCGTCACACTCGGTTTTGCGACGGTTCAGACTCTTTCGCTTTGCTTGCAATCCTGGCTGCTGGCAAGAGACACTGATCATGTGAGTCTGGCCTAGCTGGCATCAAAAGCTTAAGACTTGAGACTTGAGACTTTCAAGGCTTGAGATTCAAATCCAAAGGTGGAAAAAATCACTGGCTGGTGGTGTCTGTGACACATGTCCGAACATGCCCAGAGAAGGAGGATTGGAGACTTACAACCTTTCAGCAGAAAGAGGAACCATGATCCATCATCATCCATCTTAATCTTCTGTCACTTCTGTCAAGCAAAACTAAGGCAATACACTGAGCTGTGATTACACTGGCTGTCAAGTCATGAGAGAAGGAGGAGGATAGTCTCTCCCGGTCGAATCTCAAATCCTAATTCAGCCTAATTCTAATTCTGTTTCTGTTCGGATGAGAAACCGACACTGAAACCATCTTTCCAATGCCCAGCCTTGCTTGAGTTCGGTGAGCTTCGACATGCGGGATCTGCACCATGGAAGAAAAGTTCCATCAGCACTGCCATCAGCATCCAGCTGCTGCAACTGATCCAGCTGCGACTGGTAGGAAGCAACCAAAGTTGAATCCTCATCACCAGTGGGGACAGGTGCCTTCAACCCAAAATCTTCACCGCCATCTGCTACACTGGCCCCTTCTTGAGAACGTTTCCTGTTGCGACCAGCACCACCTCCACCTCCTCCGGTATTCCTAGACTTCTTCTTGTTTGGCTCGCCCTTGGGCTGGGCAATTGCTTTGCCACTCGGCCTCTTCTGCTGTTGATTCCCACATGCCCCTTTCATGCGACTGAAGAGCTTTGAAAATGGGCTCGGGTCCAACATGTGTGAGTCTTCCTCCTCCTCATCGCTGCCAAGATCACCAGTGCGACCCTCTGCAACATCGACATCTGAACTGGCTGCAGCAGCTGCACCAAAGCGAGAACTTGAAGCACCACTGATGACCACAGCGTTGGAATCATCTCCGCCCATCTTCCCCAAGTTCTTCATAGCAGCCGTGTGGATGCGGTCGTTTTGGTCTGCAGAGAGCACCGTTGAAGATGTCAGCACATTTGTCCGGTCACATTGCGTGGAGCTTTCGTTAATGTACTCATAGACACCTTCGTCCTGGACAAGACATGAGAAGCAAGCAGCAAGCACTGCAAGCACATTGGAATCGAAACAGTAAAGGTCTCTCACTGGGAAAAGGCCCTAATGATTGCCCCAGTGACGTTGAGTTGGAACACGTTGAGTTGGTGTCAGTGTCAGTGTCAGTACAACATGAATCAGTGGCAGTGGCAGTGCACATCTTTTAGCACAGTGTGATTATGTCAATAGACCAGACCAACTAGACCTTGGGACAATTGGAGCAAGCAGCTTAGCTAAGAAAGGAAACAGCCCAGGAGTCTGGAATCCAGAGTAATTCAATATAGCCCAGTCTATAACACAACATCCAGATGCAAGACCCAGCCAGACGGAAATCCCTGGCCTCACTCAGAATGATGTCAACCCCTTCCTTCCACTCTCCATCAATGAACTCCCTCTTGATCGAGTTGGGATCGAGGCTCTTGTTGGGAAACCGTTTCTTGAATGCCCTCAAGGTCATGAAGCTCTTCTTGGGCGCTTTCAACCCTGTCTTCTTGGTCTCTTTCACTGACACCTTCTCTTCATTGCTCAAATCAGCTGCTGAAAGGATGCGAGCTGATGGATTTGCGACTTTGATCTCCACCAGCTTTCTCCTCTGATCCAAAAAGGCATGGCTGCTGGGGGCATCTTTGTCAAGCTCCTTATCCATCTGGTTGATGGTGCCATGTGTCACCAGCCAGCCTCCGATTTCAGCAACCTGTCCGGCAGCAGGATGCTGGAGAGAGAGAGAGAGAGGAAACTTCAGAAATTGGCAATTGGGATTCAGTTGAATTAAGAATGGGCCAATTGGGCAGTTAGAGGCAGACTAGAGCCTAGCGCCTGGAGTCCTAGAGTGAGTTGTCAAGACTGGACGTAAGGTAGCCAATGACTGCTCAGTGGCTCAGTGATGCAAATATGGGATAAATCAAATCAGATGGAACAGGAAATTGTGTTCGGTACAGGTACAGGTACAGAACTAATATCACTCACCGACTTAAAGCCAACTTACATTTATTGCAATTGCATTGTGCCCAGTACCTGCACTCATGTGCTGTGCCATTGTACCACTGTGACTGTATACCCATGTGCTGTACCACTGTACCCATGTACCGTACCACCGTACCCATGTACCGTACCCATGTACCGTACCCATGTACCGTACCACCGTACCCATGTACCGTACCCATGTACCGTACCACCGTACCCATGTACCGTACCCATCGCACCCATGTACCGTACCCATGTACCGTACCCACCGTACTAAAGCTTTTATTAACAACTTCAAAAATACTAGATCGGTTGCTAACTGGGTACGTAGAGTGGGTACGGTGGGTACGTTACATGGGTACGGTACATGGGTGCGATGGGTACGGTACATGGGTACGGTGGTACGGTACATGGGTACGGTACATGGGTACGGTGGTACGGTACATGGGTACGGTGGTACGGTACATGGGTACAGTGGTACGGTACATCATAAGTAATCTAAGTACCATCCATATCACAGACCACACATGTCAGTCTGTACCCACTACGGTCTTGAATCGAACCCTAAACCCTAAATTCAAAGCAAACCCTAAACCCTAAACTCCAAGCAAACAAAAGTTCCTGAGACTGTCTCAGAAGTTTCAGAAGATCTTTAAACTTTAGGCTCTTTAGACTCTAGACTCTTTAGACTTTTAAACTTTAGACTTTAGACTTTAGATTCTATATCAATATCGTCTCATCGTCTCTGTCTATATCGGACTCAGCCCGGGTCCCAGCCTTCCTGCATAGTAAGCAGTGTCGGCCCAAAGGGTTCACTAGTGAACCCGCTTCCCAGGCGATCAGTTTGCCCCAGCTGCGCTCCTGGGACTGTTCTTGGTCGTATGGAGCTGGTTGTGTGGACCACACTCCGCAACGAACGCATCGTTTCGGCCTAAAGTTAGGCGCAAAGCCCAGGTCAGCTGGCGGCGGAGGTGCATGTGACAATGCTGGAGTATGAGAATCCAGCTTGGAACTCCGGCCAGTCACGGACATCTTAGCTGCCACGATTTCGGCACAATGTGGGCGTTACACTGCCAAGGCAAGGAAGGACGAATGGAAAAATGGAAAGCCTGGAAAGCCCAATAAACTGAAATAAACTGCTGAATTCTGAATTTATTTCATGGCTTTTGTCGTTGTAACTGTAACTTTCAGAGTCAGAGATACTACGTAGACACTTGCTCTGTTGGGCCTAGTCCTTGATCTTGTGATCTTGGCTGCAGAGATCTGAAGTCGGAGTGATCTGAACCAAATCAAAAATGCAACTAATGCAACCGCAATCTTGGCAATCTGAGCATTGACGAAGTTGTTGAACTAGGATTTCTCACACCTAAGCCTAAACCTACACAAAAAACAAACATTCAGATTCAGGTTCAGACCTCAATTTCAACTCCAGAGTCAAACTGATCAAAGCTGATTTTCAAAATCAAACCAGCAAATGCAAACATCGTCTCAGTCATCTGATGATGCTGGGAGAAACATTGGGTGAAAACATTGAGCAAAGAGCCGCACAGCTATGAGAACGATTTGTTCGAGCTGCCAACTGACCACACCGTTCGGTCAGAGACGTTGTTTGGAGCAGCACGCCACATTCAGCTGACACCAACAAAGGTTTGGAACCTCATGCACGGGCAGAACATCTCCTGTGTGATGCAGAATAATGAATAATGACAGTGTTAATTTTTAATGTCTGTCCAGTCAGACATTAATAATGAACTGAATGAATGAAATAATTATTTATAAATTATAAATAAATTATAAATAATTATTATATGCAGGCTCCAAGTCGAGTGAAATTAAAATGTGGACTCAGCTCACCTCAAACCAAATCCAAAATTTCCAAATGATTCATCAGAAAGAAACTGTGCTTTGTGCTCAGCTCCCTGGGAACGCTCAGGCAAACGTCGTCCACCATCAAGCCACTGTAGGAGCCTGGGTTCACAATCGTCGCCAAGCTTCTTGGCCAGGACGAGCTTTGCGCAACCCGTGTGCAAACCTCACTGCCGGCCATGGAAATATATTGAAAAGCGTATGTTATGTTACAGTTTGGCTTCATGATGTAAATGCTCATGGAGCCCTAGTCAACATGTAACATGTCAGTGAAAAGTGAAAAGTACAACTTCCGACCATATTTTGGCCATCAGTT